CTGGTCCCGGTAAAACAGACACCAAGGCTATTTTGCTGGTCCCGGTAAAATAGATAGGAAGACTATTTTAACGGTCCTCGTAAAATGGACACCAAGACTATATTGCCGGTCCTTGTAAAATAGACTATATTGCCGGTCCTTGTAAAACAGACACCAAGGCTATTTTGCTGGTCCCAGTAAAAGACACTAAGACTATACTGCCGGTCCTTGTAAAACAGACACCAAGGCTATTTTGCTGGTCCCGTTAAAACAGACACCAAGACTATTTTGCTGGCCCTTGTAAAATAGATTCCACGCTATTTTGCTGGTTCCGGTAAAACAGACAACAAGGCTATTTTGATGGTCCCAGTAAAAATCACCAAGACTATACTGCCGGTCCTTGTAAAACACCAAGGCTATTTTGCTGGTCCTGGTGGAACAGACACCAAGACTATTTTGTTGGTTATGGTAAGATAGATACGAAGTCTATTTTAACGGTCCTGGTAAAATAGATACCAGTGCTATTTTGCTGCTCCTAATAAACTAGACACCAAGGTTATTTTTCCGCTCCCGGCAAAACAGACGCCAAGACTATTTTGCTGGTTCTGGTAAAATAGATACCAAGGCTGTTTTGCTGGTCCCGGTAAAGCAGACACTAAGGCTATTTTGTTGGTTCTGGTAAAATAAATACGAAGGCTATTTTAACGGTCCTGGCAAAACAGACGCCAAGACTATTTTGCTGGTCCTTGTAAAATAGATACCAAGGCCATTTTACCGGTACCGGTAAAATAAACATCAAGGCTATTTCAACGGTCGCGGTAAAACAGACACCAATGTTATTTTCTTGGTCCTGCTGAATTAGACGCCAAGACTATTTCGCCAGTAAATATAAATAGGTTTTTTAGAACTAAGAATATATTATATTTGAAATCGTGGGCACAGTTGTTGTGTGAGCTGTGAAGGCAGGACTTTAACAATATGGATTCTGTTGTTTGTGGCTATTGTCTTCTGACTTTCAGAACCTCAATAATTGCCAAGAGAACGATGCCCAAGGACAAGTTTGGCATTTTCAGAGACTGTTATGCCTGAAGTGCTTAAAATATTCAGAGACTTCTATATTTCTTTGATGATGAATAATTGATTTTAACTTGTGTTTTAACAACTGATGGTGGAAAAGATTTGAAATTGTCTTCACAACTGACGATGGCAATAAACAAACTTCTGTTTTAAATCTGTGTTTTGTTATTTTTAACATTACCTGCCTTCATAATAATAGAAATGCTTACCGCTAAAATAATCGAGACTGGTAAAAATAAATTTGTCTATTTGACCGGGACGGGCAAAATAGCCATTTTTTTTTATAATCAAGCGATTGCTTCAAGATCCTAATGTTTTTTTTTTTAAATTATTCTCACATAGTTATTTTAGTTACTTTGCAATACAATTATTTAAACCCTAATTGTATTTTATGATTTTTTCGTACCGAGCCAGTGGGGATTGGAATATACTTAATGCGTCATAAGCACAGAGGTAGGGCACGCTCTTAAAGTAAAACACTATCTGATGGGTGGGTAAGTGAAAATTCCAGCATGAATTCGACCAATATCTAACTTTTTGATTGTAGTGGTACCCAAATGGTACGCCGTGCCACATAGTTGCGGCAGAAGAGGATAGAAGGTGAGGCGGGATGACTGAAAGTCAAACAAAGATTAAGAAGAAATTTTAAAGAATCAGAATATGGTAACTAGGGTCCACAAATTGAACGAGAGTGTTATCAATTATAATGTTCTGACTTTTATTATGGTCTGGTTCCTTGTACCACGGTGGTAGTCCAAGGTAGAACCAATAAAGAACTCGAACACAGGTATGAAATAACACAGATATATTACAAACACGAATATATACAGAGAAGTAGAAAGTGTTAGTATGAACAATCAGGTTTAGTAGAGAGAACAATGTAGTCTCGACCAGTATCACTATTCCAATGTCTTGCAGTAATTGTCTGAACGCGACTCTGTTTTGGACTGCCTCTGACTCGACACTTGACTTGGTTTTTGGTTCCTTCTAAAATCTGTTCATTCTCTTTAACTTCCAAGAACTCCTTGCGTTCAGTGTTGTTATCTGATTGCTTTGATGGAAATGATTAAAACAAATCTACTCTGATCTTTATTGGTTTTATATTATGTTAGTAGATAAACCGGTGTCAAACAATAACTAATTTTGAAGAGTAATTCTTTCAGCATCATTTAAATTGCTTTTCAACGTGACTACTTACACCAACATTCTGATAATTATTTTAAGATTATATAAAGGAGTGCCAACCGCGATCGGTTTTTAACTGATAGTTCTTTAATCGTAATTTTATTACTTGCTTTTCTTTTCGTGATATTACTATGTTGGGCAGTGAACAAGAAACGCCGATCGAAAATTTAGTTTGGTTTATTTTGTGTTACGACATATCAACCTCAATGGGTTATTTAATGCCGACAACATTTTTAGGATAGATTCGTATGAATAGAATATGTATTCTTTGGTTTAGATTGGTTTGGTTTATTTTGTTTTACGGCATATCAACCTCAATGGGTTATTTAATGCCGACAACATTTTTAGGATAGATTCGTATGAATAGAATATGTATTCTTTGGTTTAGATTGGTTTGGTTTATTTTGTTTTACGGCATATCAACCTCAATGGGTTATTTAATGCCGACAACATTTTTAGGATAGATTCGTATGAATAGAATATGTATTCTTTGGTTTAGATTGGTTTGGTTTATTTTGTTTTACGGCATATCAACCTCAATGGGTTATTTAATGCCGACAACATTTTTAGGATAGATTCGTATGAATAGAATATGTATTCTTTGGTTTAGATTGGTTTGGTTTATTTTGTTTTACGGCATATCAACCTCAATGGGTTATTTAATGCCGACAACATTTTTAGGATAGATTCGTATGAATAGAATATGTATTCTTTGGTTTAGATTGGTTTGGTTTATTTTGTTTTACTGCATATCAACCTCAATGAGATATTTAACGTTGACAAAGTTGTTATTGCTGGTAATATTTTGTTTTGTCAAAAATCTGTTTCTGTTAATATTTTTTCTTCAAAATTGCATTGCTGGTAATAATTTTTTTCAAAATGTATTGCTGGTAATAATTTTTTTAAAAATGTATTGCTGGTAATAGTTAACTATTTGCCCATAGCTGGGACCCTATCAGGTGCTACCACCCCGGGTCAGGGTGGACCTAGGAACACCAGCAATTCAGAGGTGTTTCCACGCTCTTCAAAACCTCCTGTTCAGAGACCTTGCTGCTGGATGTAGTTTATCGTCTTACCCAGGACGCGTATGTATTTTAACGTCTTACCCAGGACGAAAAATAATCAATGATAAATTTCTAGTGTAGTATTATCTCGTGAATGCTTTAACTTCTTACGATATCATTTACTCTTATTTTAGATGTACTGCCATGCACTCAAAGGTTAAGAAAGGGTTGGTAAGCCGTAAAAAAACGAATCAACGAAACACAATCAATGTCTAAGATATATCAAATTCCACCTGTATAAACGCAATATTTACGCTTTTCTGGATCTAATTTTTTTCCTACTATACAATCAAGACGTAATGGAATGTCGATTTAAAATTAAAAGTTGTTAATTGTTTGCATCACTTTATCAACAAATAAATATAAATTACGTTTGTATTCTTGATGCGGCATTTTTATCAGGCAGTGACATGTTCTGCTGGTTAGAATGCTACGACAGGGTGCCTTTCAAGAGAGATTCACGCCAATCGATCATTTTAAGTAATTTACAAAAGTGGTTCAATATCCTTCAGGCTAATATTTAATTGCATGCAATTTGAATGACGTCAAAAATAAGACAACAAAAAGAAATTCTTCCTCACAAATCAGTCCATCATAGAAGCATTCTTCTCCTCGGCAATAAAAAAAAAGAAAACATTACACAATAAAACGTTGGCAATTGAATTGCAATAAGAGTTTTTCAAGGACTCTTAATGGCAATGGCTATATTAGTCGTTTCCTGATAAGGAAACATTTGTACTTCATTGATCGAGCATTAGTGTTTGTTGAAAATTATAAAAAAAAAACAAATTCTTTCAACGAAATAGGATTCGCAAGTTCTTTGTTATCGCGCTTTCTAGTATTGATGGGGGCGTCTTTTCTGACTTTTTATTTGAAATTGTGTGGAGTGTCAACGTTTTTATTATGTCATTATTTTCTCTTCGGGTTAAAATGTGTTCCCCATTATAGTCATTACTACCATTAAAAAAGCCCTCAAGTAGTGTGGGCTGTTATTTTTTTTACAGGAAACTGAAATTAGTTACCCGCATTCAGAAATACGGACCAGTCACTAGCCATCTTTTTTTCGGGGGCAATTTGAATATACTTGCCAAGAAGGAGTCACGTTGGTTCACAAATGTAGACTGTTGATCTTTGCTTCCAAGATAATAAAATTAAGTTTACCATTAGTAATTTCGCGAAATGCCTTCATCTGATCTATCCTCAAATATGGGTAATTCGGATATTTAGTCCTTCTGGAGCTATAATGTACGTCACAAATATTTTCATGGCAACTGCTCTGACGAGTTTTTTTTTTTTCCTTGGCGCTCAAGATTAACATCTAGATCCGACACTTTTACTGTTGAAATAGTTAAATGCAGCTTCTACTCCAACAGCGTCTTTTCTAGCACTTCCCAACAGTGGAACTCCCTTCCGTTTCCTTGCTTACCTTATAACTACAATCTTTCAAAAATTGAAACACAACGTCATCCGCCATCTTCTGTCTTTTTGAATCACTTTCATCTTTTGTCCTTTCCTCTATCCTCCTTACACTCAGTCTTCTCTTTCACTTTCACTCCCTGTAACCCCCCCTCCCGAGCACTAGTGGCATTCCTGCCTTGCTTGAGGGTGTAATGATAAAAAAATATCTGAAATTAGAACTCGACTCCCAGATTAATAATTCCGAATCATTACTATTACACCACCTGCACATCCAAGCTTACAGCACGTGGTATTGCCAAAGGGTTACCTATCAAGGTACTGAACAGGCTCGACGTTGCTTAACTTCGGTGTTCGTATGGGAACCAGTTTTTCAATGTCATGTGCCCATAGGTAAATACAACGAACACAGCTTTTCTTCCCCGGGTGCCCCGACTGCATGAATCTAAATGTGCTACTAGATTGTCATATAGGTCCCACCCTTTCACTGTTGAAATAGTTAAATACAACCGCCACTTCTACACCAAGAGTTTCTTTTCTCTCACTTCCGCCTGTGGGTATAGCTTCCGTTTCCTTTCTTCTCTGATGACTATAATTTTCAAAAATTGAAATGAAACGCCAGTCGCCATCTTCTGTCTTTTTGAATCCCGTTCATATTTTGTTCTTTTCTCTATCTTGCCTATCCCCAATCTTCCCTTTCATTTTAATTCCATGTAACCCCCTGCCTACTTGTGGTATTCCTGCATTACTTGGGGCGAAATGAATAGAAATAAAATTGAACGACTGGAACTGTGAAGTTAGCATGATTTAATTTGAAAGGACATTAAAACAACCCAGAATCTCTACATGGAGCAAACCACCTGCATGCGGATAGAAAATGAATTCAATAAAGATAAAAAAAAATGAATGTTTACAGTAAAGATATCTTAAAAGATTTAGATTGTCTATTGGGATTTATTATTGAAAGACACAACCTTCATTATATGAGGTATACTATCTCTTCTAATCTCTGTTCGGCCAAGCCTTTACACAAACTCGTTCTCCTTCTTCTATGTGCCGTCTCTCTTCAGACGGTGGCTGATCATTACTCTCCACGACTTCCTGTCGTATGTAGCTCTTATTAAAGTTTTGTCTTTTTGCTATCTCTCCTAATCTTTTTTTCGGTCAAGCCTTTACACAAACTCGTTCTCCTTCTTCTATGTGCCGTCTCTCTTCAGACGGTGGCTGATCATTACTCTCCACGACTTCCTGTCGTATGTAGCTCTTATTAAAGTTTTTTGTCTTTTGCTATCTCTCTAATCTTTTTTTCGGTCAAGCCTTTACACAAACTCGTTCTCCTTCTTCTATGTGCCGTCTCTCTCAGACGGTGGCTGATCATTACTCTCCACGACTTCCTGTCGTATGTAGCTCTTATTAAAGTTTTGTCTTTTTGCTATCTCTCCTAATCTTTTTTTCGGTCAAGCCTTTACACAAACTCGTTCTCCTTCTTCTATGTGCCGTCTCTCTTCAGACGGTGGCTGATCATTACTCTCCACGACTTCCTGTCGTATGTAGCTCTTATTAAAGTTTTGTCTTTTTGCTATCTCTCCTAATCTTTTTTTCGGTCAAGCCTTTACACAAACTCGTTCTCCTTCTTCTATGTGCCGTCTCTCTTCAGACGGTGGCTGATCATTACTCTCCACGACTTCCTGTCGTATGTAGCTCTTATTAAAGTTTTGTCTTTTTGCTATCTCTCCTAATCTTTTTTCGGTCAAGCCTTTACACAAAACTCGTTCTCCTTCTTCTATGTGCCGTCTCTCTTCAGACGGTGGCTGATCATTACTCTCCACGACTTCCTGTCGTATGTAGCTCTTATTAAAGTTTTGTCTTTTTGCTATCTCTCCTAATCTTTTTTTCGGTCAAGCCTTTACACAAACTCGTTCTCCTTCTTCTATGTGCCGTCTCTCTTCAGACGGTGGCTGATCATTACTCTCCACGACTTCCTGTCGTATGTAGCTCTTATTAAAGTTTTGTCTTTTTTTGCTATCTCTCCTAATCTTTTTTTCGGTCAAGCCTTTACACAAACTCGTTCTCCTTCTTCTATGTGCCGTCTCTCTTCAGACGGTGGCTGATCATTACTCTCCACGACTTCCTGTCGTATGTAGCTCTTATTAAAGTTTTGTCTTTTGCTATCTCTCCTAATCTTTTTTCGGTCAAGCCTTTACAAAACTCGTTCTCCTTCTTCTATGTGCCGTCTCTCTTCAGACGGTGGCTGATCATTACTCTCCACGACTTCCTGTCGTATGTAGCTCTTATTAAAGTTTTGTCTTTTGCTATCTCTCCTAATCTTTTTTTTCGGTCAAGCCTTTACACAAACTCGTTCTCCTTCTTCTATGTGCCGTCTCTTTCAGACGGTGGCTGATCATTACTCTCCACGACTTCCTGTCGTATTATTAGCTTTTATTAAAGTTTTGTCTTTTTTTTTCGGTCATCTCTCCTAATCTTTTTTTCGGTCTCTCTTCAGACGGTGGTTGATCATTACTCACGACTTTACGTACAAAAGTTTTGTCGTTCTCCTTCTTTTTTCGGTATGTGTTCTCGTCTCTTCAGACGGTGGCTGATCATTACTCTCCACGACTTCCTGTCGTATGTAGCTCTTATTAAATTTTTGTCTTTTATTAATCTTTTTTTCGGTCAAGTTTTGTTCTTTTCTTCTATCTCTCTCTCTTCAGACGGTGGCTGATTTTTTCCTGTCGTATGTAGCTCTTATTAAAGTTTTGTCTTTTGCTATCTCTCTAATCTTTTTTCGGTCGCCTTTACACAAACTCGTTCTCCTTCTTCTATGTGCCGTCTCTCTTCAGACGGTGGCTGATCATTACTTCCACGACTTCCTGTCGTATGTAGCTCTTATTAAAGTTTTGTCTTTTGCTATCTCTCCTAATCTTTTTTTTCGGTCAAGCCTTTACACAAACTCGTTCTCTTTCTTCTATGTGCCGTCTCTCTTCAGAAGGTGGGTGATCATGACTCTCCATGACTTCTTGTCGTATGTAGCTCTTATTAAAGTTTTGTCTTTTTGCTATTTCTCCTAATCCCTTTTCGGTGAAGCCTTTACAAAAACTCGTTCTTCTTCTATGTGCCGTCTCTCTTCAGACGGTGGCTGATCATGACTCTCCCCAACTTCTTGTCCTTTGTAGCTCTTTAAATAAATTATTGTCTTTTTTCTATCTCTCCTAATCCCAGTTCGACCGAGCCTTTATCCAAACTCCTTCTCCTTCTACTATGTGCCGTCTCTCTTCAGAAGTTGGGTGATCATGACTCTCCACAACTTCCTGTCCTTTTTAGCGCTTTTATAATTTTTTGTCTTTTTGCTATCTCTCCTAATCCCTGTTCGACCAAGCCTTTAAACAAACTCGTTCTCTTTCTTCTATGTGCCGTCTTTCTACAGAAGGTGGGTGATCATGACTCTCCACAACTTCCTGTCCTTTGTAGCTCTTATTAAAGTTTTGTCTTTTTGCTATCTCTCCTAATCCCTGTTCTACCAACCATTCACTCAACCTCTTTCGGTATCTTATGTGCTGTTTTCCCGTGTTTATCTCATTCCTTCAATATATCCCGAGTGTTTTCTCTCATCTGTTAAAACATTTCCTAGAAATTTAAATCCTTGTACTTGATTCATTTTAGTGTCCCCAAATTGTAATTTGCATCTTGTCCAGTCCCTTTTGTTGACAACCATGCATTTTCTTACCTTCACACCACACCAAATAAAAGGTACGGAAGGAAACGCTCATCAATATTGGAAAGAGCAATAACAGCTACTGGACTTGAGAAACCAATTTTCCTAAAAAATAAAAGTATTTAAAGAGAAAGATTTTATAAATTACAACCAAAAACTGTAGTAGCTGCTCGGTCAATGAACGTGAAATGTTTCCTTATAGGGAAACTGCTAATATTACCATTACCATTTTCTTCTTATAAGTGATGACTAGTGTTTTCTTCTCGCTTTCCTTTCCTACTATCAAAACCGTGTCGAACGAAAATTTCCTGTTTCTTAATACTTTACTTAGTTTTTGGAAGGCATCTTGAAATATTCCAATTTTGGTGTCGTATTTTCAATTCTCAGTTAAACACTTTATAGATATTTAAATTTTTGTACTTGCTGTCGCCTCCAATTAGTAGTTCACACCTTGGGTTGCCCTTTAACTTATAAAAAATTCATAATTAGTCCTTTCTTCTCGCTTTCCTTCATTACTTTCTTCAGGAGTGCCTGTAATTTACGTTTTGTGTCTGTTAACAACACTATATCATCACGAACATAATTTTTAGTAATAGCTATATCGTACAAAAATGAATTAATCAGATATTTGAATCATAAATGCGATGAGGATTTTCTTAATTGCATTTAGTGATAGTTGCTTGAGAATTACTAACAATATTAAAAAAAACACGAATATCGATATATTCATGTTAACTTTCTTACAAAACAAACGGATGATTGAATGAAACTGTCAGTGGCGGTTTGACATGTGATTCCAAATTAATTCGGTATCGTTTTGGCGGGCAAAAGCTAGAACATTTTGTCATTTCTTGAAACCCCAAAATATCTAAAGTTCCTTAATTGAAATCTCATTTGGTGCCATATTCTGTCTTTGACTGACATTATTCCATTTTAATTGGCACTATTATCATTTTGCAGGTGAAACTGTATCGCAATAACTGAAAAAGTGGTAAGCCCAACAAATGACGAGTAAGAAAAAAGGCAGTGGATGACAGATGAAAATTTCGATTTAATGAATAGAATATAGTCGATAAGATACTAAGCGAAATCATTAGAATGAAATGCAAGCAAGCACAAGATGAATGGCTTAACAGTGTGTACAGCTTGATGCTATTAGGTATGTAACCACAGCAGGCAGGCATAAAAATTACAGGCGAGAAATAAATGAATAAAAAAAACACATTTTAAAACATTTCCCTCTAGACGATGTATTCACGAAGACGCAAGAGGGAGTTACACACACACACACACACACACACACATATATATATATATATATATATATATATGATTAAATATATTGCAACGATTATGTCTGCTTATGTTTCGTATAATCCGTTCACATTCACGAATATTTTTTCGTGTATTACAATCAAATGAGGCAAGAAATGCACTGTACAGTAAAAATCCCTTTTATTTCCCAAGTAATTTCTACCTAAATAAAAGTAATTTTCACTGTTACAGTGCATTTCTTGCTTCATTTGTTTGTAATAGATGGAAAAAAATATTCGGGAATCTGATAGGAATAGTCTAAAAATAATAATGTTTGCAATTCAGGTTATCAGATATATGTAAAAGAATTTTCTGTCTAAATACATATATATGTATATATATATATATATATT